TACCTACCTGTATTTTAATTCTGTCCATGAATTTCAAATGACATTTTTACATTAATAGAGGTTGTTGAAATCATAGTCTAAGAATATGCCTCTGGGACTCTAACTCTTCTAAACTAGGTCTGGAGAATCGATTTGACTGTGGTTTACCTCTCAGGGCGCTGATGCAGGTGGACTTTAGAGATCTTCTGCATCTCAGCTTTGATCTGGCCCAACTTCTCTTTTATCAGTTGAGTGTGAGTCTTGGATCTGTGTCTCACTGATGTTGTACCGCTGGGTTTTGAACGGTGTCGCTCCTCTCTATGGTTCTCTCTGGGACTCACATCTGAGGAAACATGACCTGTTTGGCATCAATAACAAAGAGGCACATATGGTGGTTTGATTCTAATTACATAATAAATGAAGTTGTATAAATGTGCACGATTGTTGATTTGGTGAACACAGGGCTGGGTATGGACCAGGCCATTGGGTCAGAGACTATCAAGGGCCTCAAAAGACTCATCCAAAGGAGGCTGGGCCTTTGTTGCATACAATGTGAGCTGGCCAAGGGATCCTCGTCGATACAGTGTGAGCCTAACACTAGGATCTCTTTACATACAGCGCAAGCTGGGTTCATGGTTACTAGTCTAGTGATCCAAGTTAAGCCTTTCATACCACTTACAGTTCATTGGACATAAGTCATAGGTCATATGACATCAACCATTAACCCTACTTTCATGTGTCAGATTGGTTCATATGCCTTACTACTGATTAAAAAGGGGGGGGATTATTATGTTATAAAGCCAGGCAATAAATGAATGCATATTTGCATTTCTTTTTTCTAGGCACTTACAGCACTAAACAGTAATTTTATTTTACATTCAACTAACTTTTCTTTTTCACTGTGTTGTTCTATTGCCCACACATAACTTGGGGCAGTAGCTTATGGCAAACATTACAACTGGGGACATGTTCACCTCACTTGATTTGTTCCCCCCACATTTTGAGGAATAATAATTACATTTAAGAAGTTTATGTTGCTTAATCACAGACAGTGCAAGGGAAATAATAGGCAGAGGCTGTTTGCACGAAGTGAAAATAGCAGTTTTCTTTGAACTAAGTTGTAGTTAGATGTTATTTGCACTTAAGTAGTCTAGATGCTTAAATAGCTCTAGATGCTGTATACTTAGTGCAAATAGTGACAGATACTATTTGCAGCTAAGTGTATTGTAGAACATTGTATATGCACTTTTATTAAATAATATATTTATTAAAATCATAAATGGATGCTAACTTATTTGGATCTTACTTGTCCCTAAAGCTCATCCCTTCACCTGCTCCTAACCCTAACCGTATTAAACTTGCTGATCAGCAGAGGTGTCCTCAAAGATCCAGAAAGGGAGCCATGGTTTTGAGTGTGGTAACAATATGAGCTGCACACCTTACACCTTATGTGTGCCATAATTGCAAGATTAACACAATTTAAATAATAGGTCTATTAAATCTTCGGTAGGCTCTTGATTTTCTCCATTTCTTAAAAGAAATACCTCGGAGGTGATATGCAATGGAAAAGGGAGAAGAATGGGGTTAGAAAAAAGGGTGATTGGAACTTACGCCAATCGTAATAAAAGCTAAATCCATTATCTTTATTCTCCATAGCACTGTTCCTGTTACCAGAGGGGTTTCTTTTGTAGTTGTGTTAGTCGCAATCAGATATTGGTCGGCAGAGTCAGTTAAATAACCTTTGCCAACAAAATGGGCAATTTGCACTTAGTGTAAATAGACACTCTGAAATAACTATATCCATTTGTATAGAACTAGAACAAAAACTTTTAGACCAAGCAGAAGCTTCTCTCAGGCCGAAGACAATAATCGCACTATAGTGCTTGTGTTTCACCGACCACATTTCAGAAAATGTTGTTGGCCAAACAGACAACGTGAATAATATTCATGAGCCCAACAGCCTGTTAAGCAAACAACGCAACATATATTGAGCCACTGACAATGGCATAGCGTGGTGTGCATAAAGAGCCATCTTTGAATATGATAAGTTTTTGTTTTCAAATCATTATAGAGGCAAGTAACCACTCCTCTAAAGTGGCTGTACCTCCAGTTTCACATTTTGCTGGCAAGGTTGTTTTGTCCTCGTTGGCTGCAGTAGATGTTGATAGATCTAATTTAAGCAACAGAAAAGGCAGGCGAGAAGGGTTATCAGTCCCATTTACAATGATAAAAGATGCTGCATTAAACAGATAAACTGCTGAGTCTTTTAGATTTGTTTCTAAACAGAAGATACTCTGCACTGTAAATGATGACCCTCTGAGAGCAGTACCAAATATCAAAGGCTGCACAGAGTGTGTTTAGCTAAATATAGTGGTGAAAACAAAACATACAAATGCATGAGGCCACTTTGTTTCATTTCTAAACTCTGTATGAGTTTGGGCACTTGCCTTTTAAATCTTTCATCGATGTTGCTCTGCTGTTGCTTTCACTGGAAGATGAGGAAGAGGAAGACATGCTTTCAAAGTTGTCATATAATAAAGTCTGTATGCTAAAGAAACACTTTTTGTTTCAACACAGACAGGAGTATTCAGTCTTACTGATGTTGAAGGCTGTGGCAGCCATAGCAACGGTAGTCAAGGTGCAGTCAAACAGCGTTTGCTGCAGGTGGAGTTAAACTGCTCTGAGCCTGCATATCTGAGGCATACCCTCACAAAAGGGAAGCAAACCATGGTTACCATTGTTGTTGTGCATGGTTGCAGCGCATTATTCTCACAATTGTAAACAAATTAATATGGCATAATTAATTTAGTAAATGGCTTCTCAAACAGAGCACAATCAGTGACAAGGATGTGGCTAACCTCAAATCACCAGTGTTATTAGCATGTGCTGTGGACAAATAATTAGTTTTTTTTTTTTTGGTTTAATATACAATAGCTTGATTTTAAGAAAAAATACATGTAATATTACCAAGTTTGGGTCTGAGGAAAATCACATTGCTTCAGTGTGATTGTGATGATCTCAACAGAAACAGTTACAACAAACATGAATAGATATGGCTATGTTTATGTAATAATTTTGTGGAAATTTGCCACATAATTAAAATACATTCAACTGATGATTTTTTTGAGAGTATAATACAAGAATTAGAAAAATGTAATTTTAAATGAGTGTGCTTTCCTTGTCTGTCACTGGGTCAGTACTGTTAAATATTACAGATATTGTTGAAGGATGGTTTCAAACTGATTTTCAGCTTAAGGGGACGCATATTTCATTAAATAATGCCTCATTTGCATATTTAAACATAATATTTTACAAAACTTGTAATACAATTTTTTTTTTTGCAATTATCAATGTAATCAATCAACTGTGGCTATGTTTATGTAATAATTTTGTGGAAATTTGCCACATAATTAAAATACATTCAACTGATGATTTTTTTGAGAGTATAATACAAGAATTAGAAAAATGTAATTTTAAATGAGTGTGCTTTCCTTGTCTGTCACTGGGTCAGTACTGTTAAATATTACAGATATTGTTGAAGGATGGTTTCAAACTGATTTTCAGCTTAAGGGGAGACACTGCAGGCACTGTTTTTCGAATACTATGAATTCGGACATACTACTCGCCTCGCATACTGTTTTTCGCCTACTATATAGTATGGAAGTATGCGATTTCGGACGCAGATAGTGTTTTTTTCATGCACCTGTCAATTTTGAGATTTTGGGCTTTTTGGCTTTTCATAAAGTGTTGATAAAGACTAGTGGAAAGAAAACATCCAAAAGACACTGTTAAGCGTTTCTTCTATAGAACTTTATCTATTTATGTCAATAGATTTCAATTACAATACATATTTTTAAAGGCCGTTTTCTCAAAATGAGTTTTTTTCTCCTACACTGAGCCATAAATCTCCACTTCAGTAGCACTTACACACACCAAACTTTACATTTTTATTCCTGTCTATATTCTGAAGATTTTTACAGAGGGATTTGTTCATATATAATTTGCTT